TTCCCCAATAGCTTGCGGCAACTCAAACACAACCGAAGGGTCGGCCAAACCTTTAAAAAAAAAACCGTTTGGCCAAACCTTTTCAAAAAAAAACCCTTCCGCCTTGCAGTTCGGGGTATCACCCGATAATCGTCGCAACTGGGTTGCTCTTTGCACTTTGATGGCCACGGAAGACTTGTGTCGTATGCGGAGGCTACGATGGTCCTGGTATCCGCTGGACTTCGTCAAGCTACTAATGTGGGGCTTTCCGAAAATAAGGGGTACCTTAGTTTGGGGTCCTTAAAACAAGGATCCTACTATTCAGGATACTATATTAGGGTGGAAACCCCCATGTGGTATTCCGACCTAGGGCTCGGACACTGTGCTTAAAAGCTCGGGGTGCCTTGCTTGGGGGTTCTTAGAAGAAGGATCCTACTACTGTCTCCTGAAACCCTAAATCCTAAACCCTAAACCCCCTAAACCCCTAAACCCCTAAACCCCTAAACCCCTAAACCCTAAACCCTAAAACCCCTAAATCCTAAACCCTAAAGCCCAACTGTCTCCTGAAACTCACACATCGCACCGCCTGACAGGTGCACGTCCCCATGGTGCAGACCGTGATGAAAGAGATTGAAGTGCCCCAGATTCAGTACGAAGACGAGATCATCCCCATTCCGGTCCAGAAGCAGGCTCGCCCTACCCCTGCCCATGGCGCAGAATCCGCCCACATCGTCATCATAAGAACAAGTGCTAGTTTTGTCTCGTGGCTTTTTGTGTTGTTGTTGCTGCTGCTGCTGGTGTTGTTGTTGCTGCTGCCGTTACTGTTCATGATGTATTCATCCAGTCAATTTAGTCGGTTCGGTTGGTCGTTCATGTTACTCTGGTTAATTTACCGTGAATGCTGTTCTTGGCCCTGAACCCTAAACCTGCTTTGCAGGTTCACGGGACTTAGAAAGTGTAGCTACAAGCACCTTAACTGGGGTTATAGCTAGTTCTAAGTATGGCTACTCTAGCTACGAAGTCCCATGATCCTTCAAGCAGACCCTAAAAGCTAAACCCTTAAAGGGAACCCTACGTAAGCCCTAAGCCCTGAACCCTAAACCCGAAGACCCAAAACCTTCCCTAAGACCCTAAACCGAAAAGCCCCTAAACCCTAAACCCCTAAAGTCCCTCTTGTGCCCTTACAAGGAACCCTTAAGGGAGCCCTTAAAAGGAACCCTACCCTTCATGATATAAACCCTTCATTACCCATAACAAGGAATATACCATAATTCCCATAGTTTAGGGTCCTTAAGGTAATGCAGGATTTATATCATCAACAGATTGGGTTCCCTTTAAGGGTTTAGGGCTGAGGTAGGAAGCTTCGAGGATCATGGGACTTAAGTTAGGGTCATGACTAACGTAAGCTGTGCTTATGGTTACTTGTCACCAACCCCATAAACCGAAAAATCCCTAAACCCTAAACCCCTAAAATCCCTCTGGTACCTTTTTAAAGGGACCCTTAAATGGAGCCCCTTAAAAAGGAACCCCTACCGATGATGATATAAACCCTGCATTACCCATAACAAGGAATATGCCATGATTCCCATAGTTTAGGGTCCTTAAGTTCTTAAGGTAATGCAGGATTCATGTCATCAACCCTAAAACCCTAAACCCCTAAACCCCTAAAATCCCTCTGGCACCTTTTAAAGGAACCCTTAAGTGGAGCCCCTTAAAAAGGAACCCCTACGGTTCATGATAGAAACCCTGCAATTACCATAATTCCCATAGTTTAGGGTCCTTAAGTTCTTAAGGTACCCAGAGGCCCCACATATAGTACCATTATGGAATTAGGCCCCAAAAGACTATCCTTATTAAGGTTTTAGGGACCTAATTCCATAATGGTACTATATATGGAGCCTCTGGGGTAATGCAGGATTCATGTCATCTATGGCCCTATGGTCAGGTCCAGGTTCCCATGGTGCAGAAGGTGCAGGTCCCTGTGGAGGTTCCGCAGATCCAGTATGAGGACCAGGCTCGGGTTCTAGGGGTTTTAGGGGTTTAGGGTTTTAGGCCCTAAACCCTAAACCCTAAACTCTAAAGCCTAAGCCCTAAACCGTGGGGTTGTAGGATTTTAGCCGAAAGAATTCGCTGGAGCGCTCTGATTTTCGGGTTTAGGGCTTAGGAAGGGCTTGGGGTTTAGGGTTTTAGGGTTGTAGGGGTTTGGGGTTTTGGGGTTTTAGGGGTTTAGGGGTTTAGGGTTTTAGGGTTTTAAGGTTTAGGGTTCAGGGTTTTAGGGTTTAGGGGCTTGATTCAGTGGCAGTGCTGCTGGTGGTAGTAGGAATGCTGGTGCAGCAGCAGTATGATTAGTGCTGGTCGAAATGGTTTTGGCACTGTAATGTAAGAGCCTGATTAAGAAACCCTGGCCCTAAAACACCAGTGTATTCGGATCCATACAAAGAGCCCTAAGAAATACCCTACATTGGTGTGAATCCCTACGGTAAGGTCTTGTCCGAAGAGCTTTCGGTGGCTGCTTCCAGAAGAAGTCGCAAAGGTTTCTTGAGTAGCTGAGTAGGTATATAACCTTGAACCTTTTGGGGTTTATGTAACCCTACCATACTTGAGAGATTAGCGGTTACTTAGTCCCTAAGTTTAGGTTCCAGTTGAATCTTCAAGCAGGGGCAGGTAGTCTTCTGTGCCACACTTCCTACACTCGGCCTCATCTGTCTATCCTGAGACTTTTCAACCTTGATGGCTGCAAGCCCACACTCCGACCCCTGGCGACAACTGCTGGGATTAGCAGCATCGCGAACATTCACTCAAAGTGTAGCTCTTTCAAGCAGGGCCCATTTTTAGGTCCCAAATAGTAGGGCACAGTTATAAACAGGGCCGCAAAAAGGGGACCCTAACTTAGAGAAGGACCCATAAACCCGAAGCCCACCAAAACCCTGGATGACAGGTGGTCCAGGTTCCTGTGCAGAAGCAGGCCGCGGTGTTGCTAGGATCGGCCCTAAACCCTAAGCTAACCTTACGTTTTTAGGATTTAGGGTGTAAGTCCCAAACATTGGCCTGACATCCTAAACCCTAAACCCTAAATTTCAACTATCTAGATCGTAAGCCTAAAACCCAACCCTCCGGGGCCCTGGGCAGTTCCGAGCTAAGTTTCAGAGTTTCAGGTCACGGGTGCAAGGTTTCCGAAAGTGGAGTTTCAGCGGATTTCGCTTTCTTTGATCATCTTCCCGTGCAACAGGAAGCCCGCTTTTGGTTTGTATCTGGGTTCCTTGTTTTCCATAGCCTCCACATGAAATGAAGGTTCCTTGGATGGTTGTTGAGTCGTGGTCTAGGGCATGGAAAAACACAGAGCCGGGAAGTGATGACGATGAAAATGAAAGTGGTGCTGATGATGATGTAGACGATGCAGCTGATGCTCATGATACTGCAACTGCGGATGATATTGATGAGTCCGATGTGTCGAGTTCCCGAAGCCCTAAACCGCAACCCCAAACTGTTTTGAGGCCAACTCGAGCGGCCCCAGTCTTATGTTATCCAGCTTTTGAGAGGAAAGCCGCGGTCCCGCAAGACCCTATGATTGTTCAGCCACCTATACTAGAGGCATCTGCAGGCCTCCAAGCATGCCTTCCCAAGTAGAAAGGAATCACCCCCATCTCCGACAAATCCAAGCCCTAAGCCCAAGTTCTAACCCGAAGCCGCTAAAATTCCGTACGATAGGGGCTTAAATAGTAACCAACACTATTCTGCAAAGTTTTTCAAAATTATGTTATTATGTAGTCTTTAATCCTGTTCTAAGTACTGAGGCCCCTGCTATCAAAGCCTTCCAGTATCCCTCATTGCAACCCTTCCAACAGCCTTTAAGGCACACACCTTCACAGAATTCTATTCCACGCATTCTAAGAGCATTTTCAAGCACCTACTTTAAATAGACTCTACCCCAACCCTTAAACCAAATCCCTAAAGCCTTAAACCTTAACCCTAAAACCCTAAACCCCAAACCCTAAACCCTAAACCCTAAACTCTAAACCCACCCCTAAACCCTAGACCCTAAACCCTAAACCCCAAACCCTAAACCCTAAACCCGAGCCCTGGCAGGTCCAGGTCCCCATGATCCAGAAGGTGCAGAAGATCGTTGAGGTGCCCCAGATCGAGTACGAGGACATCTCAGGGCGTTTAAGGCTTAGGGTTTACCTGGACCCTAAAGAACCTACCCTTTTAGGGTTCCTTACTATGAATTCTCTACATAAGTCCTTAAAAAGGGTAGGTCATTTAAGGATTAGGTTTTTATGGCTTTAGGGTAGGGATAGGGTTTTAGGGGAAAAGGTTGGGGGTTTAAGGGTTAAAGTTTCGAGGACATCCATCTTTTCGCTCGCGGAGGATTCTGAAATGAACTTCAGAGAATGACTTGTTGAGAATGAGAGGCTTGGTTGTCTCGGGTTTAGGGTTTGTTATAAGTCAGAATCCGACGGCTACGATTTAGCATCTTTGCATCACTTACTTGCTGAAACTTCTATCAAGTGATTTTCGCATGTAGCGGGGTTGAGGAGTCGGTGTACAGAGTGCCGAGATGCTTGTGGTTTGTAAAGCTCGATCAAATCTAAATTCTAAGCTTAACCCTATACTCCAAACCGGTTCTTGGAGATTGTGAAGGTTTTCCAGTTCAGGATCAGGCGGTGATATTTGTGATTTCGGGTCATTGGATTTGCGTGTTTGCACGGCATGGGTCCCGGCGTTGCCCTATTCGGATCAGTAGTAGGGGTATACTATTACCATCCCGACAAGAGTCGATTGACTTAGCCATTTTCAGTACGGGAGGTGGAAATTCAGTGACGATAAAGATGGAGATGTTGAAGCCTTCTGCAACCTTGGTGCTACATGCTGCAGCCACCAAACCCCAAATGCGAAACCCTGAACCCTACAGCGTCAGAGTTGGGTCTGTAAGCCTTTGCCTTCCGAAGGGCTTGATAGCGATATCGCAAGCGCTTGCCCGGTTTTGCCTTGTAGAGGTTTCACAGAAGTCTGGGGTTTTACAAGGGCCTCATACATTCCGTGCACAAAGCTTCTTCCTGTAGGAACGGGTGGTAGCGCAGCGGACGATTGACCTGCAGACCCAGGGTTTAGGACCAAAGGCAGCGGCTAGCTCTTTCGGGTTCGGGGTTGAGAGGTTTCTCACCTGAAGCCCTGATTCCCGTCAGGACCAGATCGTGCCCGTCCCTGTGCAGAAGCAGGTGCAGGTGCCGATGATCCAGACCGTTCAGAGGCAGGTCGACGCGATTTGGGGCAAAATTCGGAGTCACAGGGTTTGGGACTTGGCGGGTGTCTTTTTGATAGTATACTAGAGTATGCTATAGTATACCATAGTATACTGTAGTATACTAGGGTCGGCGGGACTTCCATTGATTGTGCTATTACTGCTATTACTGATCAACACGACAAGAGGGAAACTGAGCACATCAGCCGTACGTCTCTGCCCCCTTGATTCTAAACCTTGAACCTCATAGCCAAAGCCTTAGGTTCTACATCCTGAACCGCAAACCCTGTATCATTACTTCTAAGCCTTACAATCCCAGACCCGGACCACTTCCAAGTGGGCTTTGCGTGCCAGGCAGGTGGACGTGCCGCAGATCCAGTACGAGGACCAGGTTGTCCATGTCCCTGTCCAGAAGCAGGCAGCGACCGCCTAAACCCAAAGCCCTGAACCCCACCGTGACCTTTCAAGGCAAGCCCATGCAGTCATTGGCGGTGAGTCTTTTTCGGAATAGCTGCCAGGACGCCAAGAGTAGGCTCTGGTCGATGCCCCTACCCCCCAACCCCAAACCCTAAGCGCTAAAGGCTCCTAAACTGAGAGCTCCAGGTGCACGTGCCGATGGTCCAGCAGGTGCAGAGGCGATCCTCTGGGTTTAGGGTTTGAGGGTTTTAGGGAGTTTAGGGTTTAGGGAGTGTAGGGTTTTAGGGCTTAGGGTCTAGGGCTTAGGGTGTTTTAGGGCTTCGGGGTTTAGGAGCTCGAGCTTTAGTGAGGGGTTTCAGGCTTCGGGGTTTCGGGTTAGGAGTTTGGGCTTTATAGGGTTTAGGGGTTCCGCTTTGGGCTTTGGGGTTTAGGGTTTCGGGCTTGGGCTTCGGGGTTCTGTTACTGTATGGGGGCAGTACCCTACGCATGGACCCCAGCCCTGCGCCGCAAACCCTCACTTTTCTGACGTGCAGAACGGAGACCTTAACATTTAGACGGGAGTGTCGGTGGAAGTCTTGTGCGAAAAGCTCAACCTATTCAGTCCCTTAATCCCTGAACCCTGAAACTCTGGAACCTAAACCCCGAACTCCTAAACCCAAAACCCCTACTCCCCGGATCCTTGAGCTTCGCAGTGAACGCAAGAGACGAGACTTGCTGCAGGCAGGTGGAGGTCCCGCAGATCGAGTATGAGGACCAGGCTTGGTGCTTGCATTCCCTGCGGATGGGATTGAGGACTCAAGGCTTAGGCTATTAGGTAAACCCCAAACCCCAAACCCTAACTGCACCCTAAAGCCCTAAAGTCTGAAACCTTGTGTTTAGGACATAATGTGACAAAATGTTTGGGATCTGGGTCTTTTGCCACGAGTCAATGTCGTTGGTTTAGCCCTGGTACAAGCCTCAGCATGTTCTTCTCAGGCTTAGCGCGTGCTCTTTTGAATGACCCGCGAAGCCAGGATTGTTGAGGCCCGTAGTTCAGATATGCCGGCATTTGCTGTGGTGGCTCCGACCTCTCAAACTGAACCCTGCAAATTCTTTTTCTATCCGTAAGCCACAAACACTCCTCCCTAGCCTTGCGTATTTGTTGACCTAATCCCCCGCACCTGCGCTTCCGAAAGCCCAGCTCGCTCAAAGGCTTATCGCAGAGTCCGTATCCGTTCACAAAGACTACTTGGAGGATATGAGCTGATATATGACAATGTTCTTGAACAGTAAGCAGATAGGGATGACGAATCCCTTGCGGCGCAGGAGCCTGTAGCTACAAGCCACTACCTGTGCCGTAAACCCTGTACTCTCAACTCCCTTGCGGCATGCGATCCTCTTTTCGTCCCTGCATAATCATACTATAGTATTTAACATATACCGGAACCTCAATCTAAACAATTACTTGTAGTAAGGCACTACAGTAACCCAAAACTCGTAAGCCTAAACCCTAAATCCCACAACCGCAAAACACCGCAGACGCTTTCAGATGCCTTTACCTTAACCCTTGCAGACCCTGACTCTCCGGGCCTGGGTTCCCATGCATAGAGATCATCATGTTACAAGGCTTTTGAGGGTTTAGGATTTATGGCTTGTAGCGGACATTGGATGGACAGGTTTGGCAAAGTAGATGTTTTAGTAACCTGAAATAAGCTTGAAACAAAGTAAAGAAACACAGCCAAAGCAGATACATTATTAGTCTTTGGTCAGTTAGTTCAAAGCTTGCTCCAGCTTTGTTTTCAGCTTTTTTTCAGGGAGAGTTCAGCTTATTCATCTGATGCCTAAGGCGTCTCCATGCGGGAGTAGGGGTTCAGCAGCATCGCCATAGTCCTGACAACCCATGTGGAAGTTTCTTAACATTGGGGCTTCCTTATCTAGAACCCCTTAAAACAAGGGTTTTCTTGACCACCCATGCGCACAGATGTGAGAGTACCGTAACGGCCACAATGATAACTAGTATACTGCTTTTTGTTTGTGTAGCTACACGAGGGTATACCCCCGAAGCCCAGTTCGGCTTGTCCGGGGCCGTACAGCCCGACAGGAAGCAAGCAAAGCCCGGGTTTAGGGTTTAGGGAGGCGCCCTGCCTACGAGAGCCTCGAAATCGTGGAACGGTGTTCTCGGTCGCGAAACCATCGACCGTACGCCACCGTGTAGACAAGCCTGAAACCACACTTGCAAAGCAGAGTGTCAAAAACCCTGGATAATACTTGAAGGTTACGGTTCGGAGTTTAGGGTTTAGGGTATAGGGTTTAGGGTTTCGGGTTTAGGGCTTAGGGTTTAGGTTTAGGTTTAGGGTTTTGGGTTTAGGGTTTAGGGGTTTAAGTGTTGTTGTGGAATCGGGCTTTTCATGGGCTGGCCCTTTCTCTTCAGATGGCCTTTGATAGCCTCTTGCAGAGAGCCAGGCTTGAGCGGCTTATGACATGCCGAAAGGTTCATGGGAAGTAGTTACGGCAGAGGTCACGTAAGCTAATGGTATACTTACTTCTAGTAGCTCAATCAGTTTATTTATCTAGAGCCCCATATTTAGGCTATACAGTGCTAGAGCAGGTGGTGCAGGTCCCCATCCAGAAGCAGGCGCGACAAGCTTGCCGAACCGCAACAGCAAGCGCCCTGCGTCTAGTGTTTAGAATTTTGATGCTGTATTTACTTTCTACTATCATCTTTCTCCATAGGTCGTAACATGTTTGTAATTTGTAATACTACCTTTTTTGGTACCAACAACAGGATGTCTTACGATGAGAGTGATTCCTGTGCCACGCGCATGTCACACTGAAGAGAACAATTGGTGATCCAGGGTTTCATTCGGGCCACCAGACGCAGCAACCCCTAAATCGCAAACTGGGGATGCCCCACAAAAGATCCTCAACCCTACACCCTAAACCCTGAACCCTAAACCCTGAACCCTGAACCCCAATCCTGAACCCCGAACCCCAAACCCTAAGCCCTGAACCCGAAACCCCTAAACCCTAAACCCGTACCCCCTGAGAACAGAAGCTTTCGAGGCCGAAGCACTACCGGAAACCCCCGAACCCAGGACCTAAAAATTGGGTACTCGGGTGTAGGTGAGTTTTAGGGGTTTAGGGTTCACGGTTTAGGGTTTAGGGGTTTAGGGTTTGGGTTTCAGGGCTCAGGGTTTGGGGTTCGGGGTTCAGGGTTTAGGGTTATTTAGGGTTCAGGGTTTAGGGTTTAGATTTCAGGGTTTAGGGTTCAGGGTTTAGGGTTCTCTGGGGTTCGTCAACCTTACACGCAGGTGCACGTACCGCAGATACAGACGATCCAGAAGACAGTGGAGGTGCCCCAACTCGAGCAGCCTCGCTGCACAGGTCTCGAGGTTTATGGGCTGGGGTTGCAGGGGCGAAGATAGGGGCACTGATAATTGGAGTGGGGTTTTGAGGAGGCAATAAACTCAGGTAGAATTTATAGTTGCAATAAGGAGCCCTCATAGCAATGCTGTCGGTAGTTATTCAAGCTTCTACATCTAAACCTTATCTATGAAGACAGAATGAAGACTGTCTCTGATGTTCATTGTAACATACAAGACTATAGAAAAACACAATATACTAGAGCTAGTCAAGGGGTTCCTTCCTATAGTTCTTCTCCGATGCTGAACTTGGACAATCTTCACGCGCATGCATGTGGTTTAGAGCACTGAGGTTCGTTGACAAGGTGGTGCAAGTGCCAGTGGAGAAGGCGGTGCACGTTCCGATGGTGCAGACGGCAGCTAGGCTGCAAACTCTGTTCGGCCATCCACCGTAAACCCTACACCCAAAACCTTGAACCCTAAACTAATCCTCAAACCGAAACCCTAGACTTATCCTCAAACCAAAACCCTAAACTTATCCTCAAACCAAAACCACGAGGCTTGAACCTTCACTTCGCGAGGTGCACAGGGAAGTCGAGGTTCCGCAGATTGAGTACATCGATGCTTGGTGCAGAGTACAGACGGAGCTTTGTGGCTTTCAATGTCTTGGAAGAAATGGCTTCCAGGTTTTGGAGTCTTAGAACTTTAGGCTTATGTCTTTTTTTTTTGGTTTGTTGCTCTATTTACCCATCAATTATGTATTTTAGTTCTTCATACTGGCGGTCCATGAGCAGGGCTGCTCATGATTACCAACATGACAGTTCCACGGTACAGTTGTACAGCTGCAAAGCTGTAAGACATGCCTTATAACCCTAAACCCTAAACCCTGAACCCTAAATCGGCCATGCTCCAGCTGGTGTCCCGCCTTGATATTCACACCATGAACGCAGAAGCCTGAATAATTACTCATACCGGTCCTGAAGTCTCCTTACTTACATACAAACTAGATAAAATAATAAATAAGTAGTGTATGTATGTATGTATGTATGTATGTATGTATGTATGTATGTGTGTATGTATGTATGTATGTATGTATGTATGTATATATATATATGACTGACATGCACCGACACCCATTCTGATGATTTGTGCCCCCTAGATGACGCTTTAACCTAATTCCGCCATTCTCTGCTCCTGCCTGAAGACGCTGGGTGCACCGGTTGCCGGGTTTAGGTCTCGGTGGTTTATTATCCCCAGCGATTCAGGGTTTTGGGTTTGTGGGTTAGGGCCGGAGGCTCCGGGTTAATTTTGGGTTTAGGGGTTTTGGGTTTAGGGCAACTCTAAACCCTAAAGGTTATCTAAGTTCTGAAGACATGTGGGGTATGGTTTCTGGTATAAGAGGAGGGGTCTTGACGGCCGGAAAGTGACAAAACG